CGAGGAGGGAACATGATCCGATCGAGGCTCGACCGTCGTCGTCGTCGTCGTTCAGCCGATGATCTCGCGCACGGTAAGACACCTCGCTGAAATCACGTTCGATGCACACACTACCACGTAAGGCTACTACGCGTGTACACCTACCTGGCTGCGTGCGTGCGCCAGACGTCCGTCCATGGTCACTGGACGTCACGTACACGCGTCGCTCGGCCGCCACGGGAACCTTGACGCCTGTTAAACCCGCGAATTGCTGTACAGATTACACCTGGAATCGAGCGTTCAACCGTGATTACCGATACACGCATCCATAATCTGCGCGGTAACCCTTTAGGTTAATAGGCTTGAAGCGTTCTCGGTGTTCCGCTTTGAAACTCGCGTGGACGCTTAACGCGATTACAATGTCAATGTTTCCCAAATTTAAGTTGGAGCGTTGAAGTAGAATGAGATAACGTCGATGCGAGTTTCTAGGGACGGTACGCACGAGACGATTATGAATAATGGTGGTAAACATTCGAATAGCATTGAATGTTCGCCTCGATGCGGTGTCCCGAAGGATTCACTGTGAAATCCGTCGGTTATTCAGAATCACCGTAATAGGTATTCCCGTTCGATCAACCGATCGCGTCGATTACGTACGTAATCGGTACGTAAGCGAAGCTTCCTCGCAGGATGACCGTGCACGGTCGCGCGTCCACTTCGTCTTACGCTCCTATTCTATCCCATTCTGTCGATCGTCCTCTTTCCTCCAACTCCTTTCGCTGCTCACGATCTTTCTCCTTCCTGCTACTCCCTTCTACGTTCTCCAGCGATCCTCTGTCCCCCCCTCTCCCTCGTCGCACAGCTGTCCGATCATCCATCTCTGTCTCTTCGGCTCCTCGTTTTGTTTGCTCCCCGGCGCGTCGCGCGTTCATGCGTGCTGCCGTCGTGTTTCCATAGGTTTCGTGCATACACGGGACCCCCCGGGAGCCTTATTACACGCGGCGTGTACCTCACGCCAGTCTTCGAACCGAGCGGGATCGAGAATCGCATAGGGACGCAGGTGTAGGGGCATATTTACAGGGAACTGGGAGAAAAAGAAGCTGAGAGAGCTGAGAATCTAATAGGGTGGCCATAAAGTATCTTTAGTGCGTTTATAGTAAAGCCTCTGAAAGCTGAGACACAGAAGAATTACTATTATCTCCGAACTTTTAGTATACCAAGAAAAATGAAAAGGTAAACGTCCTGCATCGCATTATTTGTATTGTTAATTAGTAAATGTACTCGCGCGCCTCGCTTTAATCTAACCGCTTCCGTAATGAAAGGAAAACACGTGGACTGCGTCTCGTATTTACAATGCATTCGCAAATTAGTGTTTATCTTCGATCGGAGGTATCAGCGCGAGCTTAATTCAACGGCCGAGTTCGAAATATTAACGCGAGCATAACTCGATAATCAAGCCTGAGATATTAATGCAAGCCGAATTCCATGGGCGAAGTTAAGGTATCGATGCAAGTTTAATTCGACGAGCGAGCTTGAAACATTAATCCGAGCTTGGAATATTAATACGAGCTTAACTCAACAAGCTATCCCGCATTAACGTCCCCGCCGCGATCGAAAGCAAACATTAATCCGCGGATGGGTTATAAATACGAAACCCGTTGTACCTCTGCGCTCTTTCTCTCGTCGCCCCTCCGATCGGGCATCGCCGCTCCGCCGCGAGCGTACCCTAAGAAAGAGGAGCAGGTGGGAGGCGGTGGACGCGACGGTGATCCACGCGACCCTGACTCACGGGGGCTGACTCCCGAGGGATTTTCGAGGTCAAGGGAATCCGGGGAACGCGCGCGGCCGAGAAACGCGCCGCGCGCCAGGGACGAGCACACACGGACCCGGCCGCGAAATTGGATTCGACGCGAGGATATACGTATCGTCCATTACGAGTTATTGGCTCGCGGTCGATCCCTCCAGCCACCTTGTCCGTCGGCCGATATTAACTTGTCATCGGCCGTCAACCACTTTATCAAACGCCTGCCGCCTCCCACTGTCCGCGTGTCCCTGGTCGCCCTTTCCATACCGCGGCGAACCGATCCCCTCTCCCCCTTTCCCGTGACTTTTGACCTTCTCGCCGCGAGGGGTGTCCGCTCTAACGAGCGGAGAAACAAGGCGCCTCGGGTGTTACCCGCCCTCGTTAGAACCGTGTAACCGCGCGCCGTCTCTTTCTCTCTCTCCCTTTCTCTCTGTCTCTTGTTCCCTCTCTTTCTTCCTCCGTCGTACTCTCCTTGGTTGTTCATTCTTCGGGAACTTCCACACGACCACGCTAATTCGACTAAGTTCCCGACACGTTTCGGAGTTCACGGATGAATCCCGATGGGAGCGTATTGTGTCGTCTACTTGTTGTGGCGAGGAGTTGGCTTCTCGTGTATACCCTCGGGCAGGTTTGAGCACTTTCGGCTTGGTTACTGTGGCGAGAGGTTTCGGGATAATGGGTTGCAGCGGATTTCGTTGCCGGAATTTTTGAGGGACGGAGTTCTCGTGATTTGTTCGTGGAGTTTGTTGAGTGGAAAATATTCCATTGATGCGGTATTAAGTATATAGGCAGTTCGCTCGTGAAAGTTTCGGGGATTATCTGCTTGGAACGATATTATTGTTCGAGGGTAAAATGTTTTCGAGATACTTTCGTAGTTATTTTTTCGTGTCGCTGGTTTTTGAAATTGGACGCAGAGCGTACGAGACATTCGCTGATTCGTATTCTGCACAGGAAATCTGTAAGTCGCGTGTAATATCTTTGTAATACGTCTGTGTATTCCAGGCACATTGTTAGCTGGCCGAAGCGTCTCGTTTTACTTATGGAGATATCTTTTTTCCGTGTGACACGTTGTTACCGAGATAATCAAACTCGAAAGTTCGTCAGACAGGCGCGCTGGTGAATAAGATCGAGTAATATGTCTGCTCGTGACTTATAATATAAATTGTATGATACGCTCGTGTCCGAGGAAAATTTTCCAAGTCAATTATGTCCGAAATGATACTCTGTGCGAAGAATCCACTGTTCGTAATCAGTACGCCAAATATTCCAACGTTGCGCTGTAGACCTGAGATGTTAATGAAATGTGACATTTTTATAACAAGCAAGATTTCTCTATTCAATTAACTTTTTATTGTCATTTAAAAATATAACATAATGCGATAGTACTCTCTTTCGTTACATACATGTTAAAATGAAGTTACATCAGTAGCAACGAACGTATTAATCAAATTAGAAATGAACTCGTTAAAGTTTTTCTTCCGTCCAGAACCGAAGCGGCAAAGGTTCTCCAGGAAAAGGATAATTGATGTCAGATGGTAAAAAGAAACATTTCCGTTCTGCATGTCAAGGAGGACACGTTACATCTACAACGTGGTAGCAATTAACATCAATCCATTATTCCGACTTGAACTTTTCGTTGCACGCAGAATGAACCTATACCCTCTAATAATTACATCGACCATCTCGAGTATCTAGGACATCGAGCTTTAAACAGCGAACGAGATACATCTAAATACGATGTCGAATCTCGCAAAAACATCGAGTAATAGCCTCGAGACATTCAGTTTCTGCGAAAGATTTTTATCAACCACTTTAGACGATAAATTTTATTTAAGAACACTAGTATCTACGTAGATTTCCAACCTCAGCAACAATCATGCGTCATGACGAAAGAAGATTATAGTCTCGAGTCACTCAATTTCTAGAAATAATTCCCATTAGGAACATCGAATGATCCTTTGAGAACACTTCTTTCGTACCTCGATGACGCGCAGGCAATTAGCAAACAAACACATTAGAACGGTTCCAAGAAGCTTTCCACTCCCTAAAATAATTTAAATATCACCGTTCACTCGGCGAACGTTTTCCATCAGTTATGAAGAGGGCACAACCAATTCCGCAACGTATAACGTCAATTAACCTATACACCCAATTAACACCACCTCGTCTATTTAATCTCACTCGCGTCGATCATCATTTCACCCAAATTAATTTTACATCGCAAATACAATGAGGAACTCGTTACTACTCTACGTGTTCCTATCTCTATCCTTCACGAGAACTTTTCACAGTATCCAAAAAATAAATGAATACCAAAACAGGAACACTACTGCACCTCGATTAGATAACAATCAAATTATTCATTCACAATTACACTCCAGGTACGAAACGGCCCCAATATGACAGCATCCATCCCGAAAGAGTTAATGTCTGAAACGTCTCGATAAACTGAGGATCTCCGGTCGAACGCAGTCGCTAAATGCAGGTCGTGACCCTCATTTATTTTCATTCTTCTTAACGTGACGGTCGGCCAGCGTATTAAGCGATCGAGCGGTCAATGTCGCCGCGAGTTTAACGCGTCCTTCAATGGCCGCGCCGGAAGTTACGTAATTATCGATCCGCTGGAAATGGTAATTGAAGCACAGCCGGCGAACGCGATGATCAATCCGACGGCGAGCTGGAAGAAATTCACGGGTTCGGGCTGGATCCCGTGATCTCGGACAGGCGAGCGAGCGGGCGGCATTCATCGGCTGTGCAAATATTTTCCGAGCGGCGCTCCACTTATGTGTATCAGCGTGTAAATGTTTGCCTTGTATTTAGGGTCATGTGTGCGGAAAGTGTAACGGCCACTTCGCGCATAATGCCGGGGCATATTTTAAAAACTGCGGAGGAGTGACGGCGGAGGCTGCCGCTCGGCCCGCCTTTTATCGACGGACTTCATTAACCGTTCCGTGTTCATCAGCCTCCTATTGAGCGGCCGTTTCATTCACATTGACCGGGGGCAACGATTAAGACGTTACGTAACGCTGCATAAACACGCGACACACATACGGAGCGGCCGTGATTCGCGTGCGTGTGGCTCGACGAACGCGGCGCGGACGGTTCGGTTCGGTTCGGTTGCGTGTCGCCGAGCCGTAAATTCCAAGTTCACGTGTCTCGGGTTGAACCGTGATCGATGCTGCTCCTTTCTCGCCAGCTCGTTCCATTGAAAGCGTTCGCGCGCGGTCTTTGTGCCGATTGCCTGAAATTTTGAAATATCGAGAGATCCTCGGCGGAAACGCGCCCGGGAGAAATATCGGGGCAATTAATTCGCGGGTGAACGGTTAAAAGGGAACACTGTGGAAACCGCAATCGCGTATCGCGGTTTCGGTTTCGTTCCGAAATACACGGCGGAGTACGTGGATTCGTTCACCGCTGGGAAAAGTGGGGATCTATATTGAATAGCTTTAAACGGTCGGAAGCCGAAGTTGTTAAATGTATATGCGACTTTTAGTTTAGTTTGTTGTGAAATATAACTGCGTTCAATGTTGAATGTAATCGGAAGTTGTTTCTTTTCCGACGAAAATACTGAGAGGCTGCAGAATTGCGAAATAGAGAATTTCTAATGTCGGAAGCTTTCGGTGTAATAGTTGTTGGTAGGGATTTATATTGAATAACTTCGAATGTCGGAGAATTGAAGCTATTAAACCTTTGCACTCGAAAGTTTCTCACTAGAAATATTTAACAATTTTTGACAACACAAAGACGATATTCTTTGGAACTAGAGGAAATCACAAATACATTGAGCAACAAAGCTAGTTTATTCCAATATTTCACGTATCGAGGCATTACACAAAGTTCAACGTGAAATATCAGTCTCAGTCACCATTTGATTCGATACAATAAAGTTACAAAGTGTTACATATAATATTCGTATGATGCATCAATATGTGAAACATTTATATAAAATAGGTCTGTTTCCTAATTTACGTATGATTTCTCACAACTTTGCTTCAAATAGTCGTCTATGTCTCTTCAGAAAGTGTCGAATATTTCTGGAGGAAAGCTTTCGAGTGCAAAGGGTTAAATCTATCTGCAACCTTTAGTTTAGTGTAACTGGTATGGAATAAAGCAGCGCTCCTTGTTAAATATATAATCTACCCTGTTTCCTGGAAAAGATAAAAGACTTCAAAATTACGAAATAAAACGCTTCTAATCTCGAAAGCTCCAGTCTAACAGTTGCATGACGCTTTAGAACTACCATCGCTCTTGGAGAAAAAGCAGCACCTGTAGATTGTAACGTCATCATGTTATTTAGGGTACTCTCGACAGCGGCAGCCTTCGAAAGGTCGAGGCCTGCTCCCATCCTAGAAAGATGATATTCAATAACTTTAATTAGATCTGACCGCCTATTTAAATGTCGTCGGGTTTTTATCGCAGACCGCGGTCG